ACCTCCCCCAGCCAACTTGGTGTCCTCTGCAAACTGACTGAGGGTGCACTTGATCCCTTCATCCAGATCATCAGTGGAGATATTAAACAACACTGGCCCTAACACTGAGCCCTGAGGGACAGCACTAGTGACCGGTCGCTAACTAGATGTGATGCCATTCACCACCAGTCTTTGGGCTCAGCCATCCAGCCAGTTTCCAACCCAGTGAAGAATCCTCCTATCCAGGCCATGAGCAGCCAGTTTCTCCAGGATAACACTGTGGGAGACAGGGTCAAAAGCTTTACTTAAATCCAAATAGACAATGTCCACAGCTTTCCCATCATCTGCCAGGCAGGTCACCTTACTGTAGAAGGAGATCACGTTGGTCAAGCAAGACCTGCCCTTCATGAACCCATGCTGACTGGGCCCGATCCTTCCGTTTTCCTGCATGTGCTTTATGATCTCGCTCAGGATGATCTGCTCCCTGATCTTCTCCAGCACTGAGGTCAGGCCTATAGTTTCCAGGGTCTTCCTTCCTGTGGCTTTTGTAGAGAGGCATCACACTGGCTGACCTCCAATCCCCTGGGACCTGCCCACTAGACCAGAACTGCTGATAGATGATGGAGCGTAGCTTAGCAAGCTCCTCTGCCAGCTCCTTCAGCACCCTTGGGTGTAACCCATCCAGCCCCATAGACTTGTGTACGTCTAAGTGGAGCAGGAGATCTCTAACCATTTCTTCCTGAATTATGGAGACTTCAATCAGCTCTCCATCTCTGCCATCCAACTCAGGGAACTGAGTACCCTGAGGATGGTTGGTGTGACTATTAAAGACTGAGGCAAAAGCAGTATTAGGTACCTCAGTGTTCTCCTCATCCTCAGCCACTAGGTTTCCCCTAGTATCCCTAGAGGATTGAGGTTCTCCTTGGCCCTCCTTTTATTGCTAATATATTTGTAAAAGCATTTTTTATTATCTTTCATAGCAGTGGCCAGATTTAGCTCTAGCTGTGCCTTTGCCTTTCTTTCTACATAACCTAACAACATCCTTGTACTTTTCATGGGGTGACAGTCCCTTCTTCCACAGGTGATAGATTCTCTTTTTTTTTCTTTTTTCCTGAGTTCCAGCAATATCCTCCTGTTCAGCCAGGCTGGTCTCTTCCCCGCACGTTTCATTTTCGGCACATAGGGACCACCTGCTACTGCACCTTAAGGATTGCATTCTTGAGAAGTGTTCAGCCTCTCTGGAGCCCTTTTTCCTTCAGTGATGTTTCTGAAGGAATTCTGCCACCCAGCGTCCCGAACAGGCCAAAGGCAGCCCTCAGAAGTCTAAGGTGGAGATTTTGCTGACCTTCTTCCTGACTTCTCCAAGGATTGAAAATTCAATAAGTATGTGATTTCTTTGCCCAAGACAGCCTTCAACCACCACATCACCCACCAGTCCTCCTCTGTTTGCTAACAGCAAGTCCAGCCAGGCATCTCCCCTAGTTGGCTCACTCACCAGCTGGGTTAGGAAGTTATCTTCCACACCCTCCAAGAGCCTCCTGGATTGTTTCTTCTCTGCTGTGTGGTACTAAGGTAGGGGTACTGAGGAAGGCAACACTGCCCCTCTACTCTGCTCTGCTCTCGTGAGACCCCACTTGGAGCACTGCATACAGTTCTGGTGTCCTCAGTGTAGGGAGGAGATGGAGCTGTTGGAGCAAGTCCAGAGCAGGCCACGAGGACAATCAGAGGCTGGAGCACCTCCTGTACGAAGACAGGCTGAGAAAGTTGGGGCTGTTCAGCCTGGAGAAGAGAAGCTGAGTGGAGACCTCAGAGCAGCCTTCCAGTATCTGAAGGGGGCCTGCAAGGATGCTGGAGAGGGACTCTTCATCAGGAACTGTAGCAACAGGACAAGGGGTGATGAGTTCAAACTGAAACAGAGGAAGATCTAAGGAAGAAGTTCCTTACTGTGGTGGTGGTGAGGCACTGGCACAGGTTGCCTAAAGAAGTGGTAAATGCTCCATCCCTGGCAGCATTTAGGGCAGGTTGGACAGAGCCTTGAGTGACATGGTCTAGTGTGCAGTGTCCCTGACCATGGCAGGGGGGTGGGAACTAGATGATCTTAAGGTCCTTTCCAGCCTTAAGTATTCTATGATTCTATGACACAAGCTGGGGGGTAATACACTGTCTACTCCAAGGAGTAACCAGTTGCCAACCTCCCTTGTCTCCTAGGTTCCTTCCATCTGTCTGATGGCAAGAAGGTAGGGGATCCTAAAGTTCTTTTGTTTCTGGTGGCTGGCTTGATACTCTCAGGGATGGTAGGGTCTTCATACCAGGCAATCTCCTCCTCGGATCCCCTTATGCTCCTTAGCCATTCCACCTCTTCCTGTATCTCTTCCACCATGCAGAGCAAATCGTCAACCTGCTGACATCTTACACAGCCACCACCTAACATCACCGACAGGCTCTGGCACTCACTACAGCCAGATGCCTGGACATGTTTATAAAGGAGCTCTGTCTGTGTCACCATGTCCTTCCTGGCCAGCAGAGAAGACTCAGTTTTCTCTGCTTTCTGTCGAGAGGACGCCATCCTACAGCACTTCATCGATGACCGCGGCCTGAGCGCATCTCTGCAACCTGCAGAGATCCCGGATCCCGGCTGCCGCAGCCACGCTCCCGAGGGCAGTGTTTTACCCGCTCTGGGGTGGTGCCGCCCCTCCTGGCACCGCCCGATATGAGTCAGCTGGTGAGTCAGCAGTGCTGCCGAGTTCCGGGCGAGTCCCGGCAAGGACTTGAGGCTGGTGCGTGGCTCTTTGCTGCTCAGGCAAAAAATGGTTTTAGTCTTCTTCTAGCTTGGAAACCTGATTGATTGATAGCCTAAAGTGGAGACATACTAGGAAGTGGTTTCTAAAGCACCGCGCGTAACAGCAGCTTCACAAACTACTATTCAAAGATATGGTTTATTCAACCATAACCTTATCTATTACATGAACAACCTAAAAAGTTGTCAGGCAGAGATAAAGATGGGATAGGAGCCAGTGACCCCCTGCAATGGTGGCCTGTTGAGGAAAGGAAAGATAATGGGTAAAATTCCCCAGAGTGCTTGACTGTAGAAAGTGTCTCAGACAGATCCCTACAGAAGCATGGTGGAGTGGAAGAACTTTCCCCTTGCAAGTGTAAGGCAAAAAAAGCCACTATGTGGACTTGAACCAAGGGATATCCTGATCCCTTTCAGAAAAGGATATGGAATACCAGGCAGGATGGCTTCAAAAGGAGATTTAGACTTGACAGCTGTCTCTGCTCTGTGGGGCCACTGTCAGAGTCATACTTGAGGGACAGGCTGCAAATGAAGTCATCTTAGTAGAACTACCAGTGTTAAAATACCTGATCCAACCAAAGGATGACTCTGATGGAAGAGAAATCCTGGGCAAGGCAATGCTAGACTCTTGACCACAAGAGTCTAGGGAGAATTTTTACTCCAAAAGCTACAACTCCACTAGACCTAGAGTGAGCCATTGAGTCCCAAGGCTCAATGTCTTGGGAGCAGTGCCTTTCAGAAAGCAGCTGCAAGGAGTTCACTGAGGCCTTCACAAAAAGACATGCATTTTGCTTCCTTCCTTACCTTGGGCAAATATTCCAAGTTCTCTGCCTTACGCAGAAGCACTGTGTCAGCAGGTCACTGCAACCAGAGTTTGCCTTGTGCCGAGATAACAGTGATTGTGTTGTATTAAGTTAACTTGTTTTGACATTCAGCAATGGTGTTTCACTTTGGCTAGACCATCATGCCTACAGGTGCCAGATAAAGACAAGGACAAGTTGTAAATGTCACCCTTTGTACTCTGTGGTGTCCAGCTCAGTTGCAATCAACCCAAGGTAGGATTTGGAACATAGATAAAAGTAGCAGTGTTTTGCTTAGGAAATTAAGGGAAGAGTGGGTCAGGGACCAAGGATTTTAACTTGAGGAATTTGACTTCTTTCATTCCAGATGTTTTGGGTTCATCTTATGCTCTCACAATTAGCTGGCATATAGGCTTTGCTTCCCAATAAAGTGCATATTGTGCTGATAACTAACATGGATGCAGCAGCATCTACAAAACATCACTCCTTTAAAACTTCCACTCTAAATACTAGGCTGCAGATACCCCTCGCAATACCCAGGACCACCCAATATCAATGATTACCTCTTTTGTCCGGCTTAGGGCACAACAGCTACTTCCAGGACTTCCAGAAGGACATGCATTGCATGTAAAACAAAGTGGAAGAGTCTATCCTGGAACTGATCCTCACCTAAGGCAGAAAAAGTTTATATCCAATGAAACCATTTCATTATTATCTCCCCATCCATAGAAGTGTTCAAGGCCAGGTTAGATGGGGCCTTGAGCAACCTCGTCTAGTGGAAAAGGGGTTGGAACTAGATGACCCCCCATGGCAAGGGGTTGGAACTAGATGAGCTTTAAAGTCCCTTCCAGCACAAACCTTTCTATGGCTATGGTGTGGTCTCTTTTATTTTCAAAGGTGTTTGCTATAAAAGAGCTTGCCTCTGAGGCAAACAATAGGTCCTGGAATTACTAGAATGTTTCTTCCCCACTGTATAGAAGTGTATTTTGCTTTTGGCATGGTCCTGGAATTACGTGGAAGCAGAGAAGCAGGGCAGGGTGGAAGTCTGGGCAGTACAACTCACCAGGTATAACTGTGTCCTCATATTAGAGAGGTGATCAAATTGCACTCGAGATGAAACCCTACCTTGCAAACACCCACACAGATAAGTCCTCCCAGGACACTTGTCAGCTTACTGCCAGCACTGAGACCATGCAAAGTACCTGGAGCACTTCCCACTCATGTGCACTGACACAAGCCACACAGCAAGTATGTCCTTGCAAGCCCAGAGAACCAACAGGAGAGAGAAAACCACTGCCAGAAAAGCCATGAGGAAAGTTGTTTCATTCCCAGCCAAGTGAGTCAAGGGAACCAAAGGACAGGACTTGTTCGCAAATTTAGAGCAGCACGTAGGTGTGTGTGGCCAGGGCTTGCTCCCACTTGTACTGCAAGAGGTTATCCCATCTCCTGCGCCAACACGCTTACACACCCACATGGTGAACACTCCCCAAGACAAGAGCTCGAGGAAAAACTCAACTCAGATCAGACCAAAGGGCTGAGCAAAATGCCTGAGAGAGACACTAAAAAGAGAAGCCCGACATCATACATGAATCGTTTTGTTCCTTCAAGTTAAGAGAATTTGAACAGGATCCTTTTCACTAGACAAATTATGGTTTGTGTTACACCACATCCATCATCTCAGCATAGGTCAGCAAAGAGGCATGGCTGGGCAATGAGTTTAGTTTAATACCACATCAAAACCTGCCTGTTTTTTCATGATACAAATCATTCTTTTGTACTACTAATAATAGTCCATAATAGATAATCTGTGAGTTTATAAAGCCCTTTAAAAATAACATTGTCCAGATTACATATACAGTCAAAAAAGAGGATAAGACATGCACTTTTGGCAAAATACACCCACTCAAGACACATCTCCAGGTCAAACCAAAGTTTATGAAGGATTTTGATAGAATTAGTCATTTGCGGGGGCTGATTCTTGCCATCAGATTTCCCAGCATAGCCAAATACTGTTAAATCAATTGCAGCAATGAACAACTTGGTTTTCCTCCCTGTGTTGCCTCCAGGCTACTATGCCATAAAAGATGAGCTGAATATACAGGTAATAGAGTTTTATATAACAAGTCCCAAGCCACACCTTCAATTCTGAGGCACAGATTCAGCAATAAGTGCCAATACTGTCAGAGGTCATCTTAAGACAAAACTTTCCACTCTCTTCACTAAGCTTCTAGGTAGACCCTAAAAGCCAACTACAAAACTGCTCTGCTTCTGTAAGCCTCACATTGCAGCACTCCAGCCAAAGGGTCTCAGGTGAATTTGGCAGGATCGAGCCCATACTACCATGCTATGTGTGGTAAACTCAGTATAATTTAACAAGAGGAGCTGAGTATATTCCCAGTTCAGAGCACTAGGACATGTGTGTGAATGGCATTCCAAGAGGACAGAGGACTGTTCTTGATTTTTGAGCTAAGTATTTGCAGGTAAGACTCAAATATGCTCTATGAAAGTGAGGGTTTTTTTTAGGAAATCTGCCATTAACTAACTGAGTAACATGGAAAAGCTGAAGTGGTTTTGTCTTCCAGTGGAAAATTCAGTGTATACAACCACAAAGCAATTGCTGGAAGACAAGGAGGAAAGCTGTCAGGGTTTTCAATGAAAACTAAACAAAGCAAACCTGCAAAAATGAACCAGTCTTTTTTTGCTGCTTTTTCGGCATATAACACAATACTTCTAACTTTTTTATTTTTAAATCCATTCAGTACAAGTTCTTGTTCTTCATAACAGGGAATTATTCCTTATTTCCAAAAAGGCAGAAGGTTCTGCAGCTAGGGCAGAAGAGCTGCCACCCCCATCCTAAGAGCAACTCTGCTAAACACATGCAGTGTCAGGCTCAGTCCCACAAAACCAGACCTAAGTTATAGATAAAGCTTTCATGAGCAGTGTGTCATCCTCAATGGATATGGTTTCCCCTTACATTTCAGATCTGGTCTGGTGATCATGCTTCCATCTTCTCACCCAGAATCCTTTTCCATTTGATACCTTCTCATATGATGACACACAACCCCTACGTTCTTCCAGCAGCACAGAACAAGCAGCGTTTCCATTTTCTCTGGAAAGAAATAACAAGTTCTGTCTTTGCCCTTTCCTTCAGACTAGACACACATATCCTTGCCCATCTACCACTGTGTTACATACACCTGTGGCTCTCTAAAGCCATTCTGTCTTCAAAAATTTGTCATTTTTATCATGCTGATGCTTACAGCATGCTATTCCGAAAGTAAGTAAAAGGACTGTATCAAGTGGAATTATTCACTTCATTCTACAGTTTGAGAGTTGATTTTGTTTCAGAATTTGGAGACATTTTGATAGTAATTTTTAATGATTAAAAAAGCGTTTAGGGGATACATAATTCAGCCTTTTGGCCATGATACCTTGAGAGCACGAGACAGCTTGTACAGCAAGGAGGGATGAAAAATACCAGGTTAACAGCTGAACTTGGGATTTTTCCATCGACAGTGTGTTACAAAGACACCTTCTTTGCAGCAATCACCTTTGAACAAATTTGCAAGTAGATGAGATCAGCATGCACAGTAAAAAGCCCAAAGAGTGTTTAAACTTCTTGTTTGAAGTTTGATAAGTTAAAAATATGTATTTGTCTAAATCTTAAGGGAAAGAAAGGAATCTCCAAGGTCCATCCTTTGCAGCAAGCTGGTGTATTCATCCTCCTGAACAAATAATGATACGTCTAATTATTGTGAAAATATTCCAAACTGGCTAATGTTATATGTGACAGTAAAAGGGTTTTGATTAACCAGAAATGGTTTGAGAGAGTATAAAAGTAACTCTTTCCCATTACTTCTTTCTGCCCTACCCAGATGAATCAAGCTCACCCCAAGCCCCTGCCAAAATCTGGCAGGATGAACTGGAGAACAGTAATTTATGTGATTTTACTGGCAAGCCTTCCCATAGTCAAAGCCCTGCCTAGAAGTTATGAGGACATAGGTAAGAATATATCTTATGGTTTCACTCTATTGTTTTTTATAACATTGATGGCTGCAGCTTCTCATCCATGGTTATTTGGTATCTTGCTTTGCCTCTGCCAGTTCTACATTGGTGTTTTCTGTGGGTCAAAGTTATACAACCAACTTCAATCTGTATAAATTATTTGTGATCAGCCTTAGATGTGTTGCTTCTTAAAGGCTTGAGAATCTATTTAGTGTGCAGGACAGCCAGTGGTTACTGAGAGGGGAATTCAGTCCACAGGAATGTGGTTTTGCCACTGGCTTTAGGTACTCCAAAACCTGCTGAAGTGAAGCCTGTGGTTTTCTGGCCTCCCTTCTGCAATGTGTGAGGAAGTGAGATAGAGGAGGCCCAAGAGGGATGCTACCTCCATCTCTGGTGGCTATTCAGAGTAGCTAAGTTATGCTATTGCTATGTGTTTTCCTTTGGAAGGGTCTTACTCTTTCTTCATTGACTACTGAGAGCTTACAATGACCAAATTTATCACTAAGGCCTAAAAGTGGGGCCTAAAATAAAACGCTTCTTTCCCATTACATATTGTGATCATTAGTCAGCTCTTTTTTCACCTGTATAAATTCCAAATGCAGTAAATGGCCCAACAGTGTACCACAGACCTGATGTTTGTGTTGTTTTTCTCATGTTTTCATCAGTTAACACCCCTACATTGCTCAGAGGGATAAACTGGTTTATTTCTTTGATTTGTTTGATCCTTTTACCCTAGTCTCAGCCCTACTGATGTGAGGGCAAAACAGTCACACCTTGATCTGGGAGCAGGCCTCTTACTTTAAAATTAATGTCTGTATTCCCAAACAAACAAGAAACTCAAGAAATCATGGCATTTAGATTTGCCCATTAATAAAGGTGCAGTGGCAAAGGAAAAATATTTGCACAGTATTTTCCACATAAATGGGACACTTACTTTCCTCTGAGCCAGTTCACAACATGGACAGAAGGATGCAGCTCTGTGGATTTTGGAGGAGCTTTGCCTGCCATTGTAGTCCTTATTTTATCCCATGTTTTCTACACAGAAAATCCTTCATCAGTAGCTAGAGTGGTCAAGCACACCTTAAGATAGCTAAGGCAAGGTTAAAAGGTGTTTTTAAGGTGCTTCTTTAATCATGTGCAACATCAAAGTAGCTGAACACCCCAGGTTTTAGTGTACTCCTCCCCACAATACTTGTGCTAGGCAGGGAAATTATATTGGCCCTAATACATTATAGGTCAGAAACAGTTTCACATCCTTGTGCTTAAGTCAGATAGGAAGTTAAATCTCAGGCCTTGCTGCTCCCACTGCTAATACCCCAGGCACTGAATTATCTTTCTCCTAACCTGCAGTACCAAAAAACAGAAGAGAAGATATTTGATGAAGCACTTAGCAAACATTTTTTCTTCAAATTCTCTTGTTTTTTTCAGAGGAAAAAACCAGCATTGGCCAACGTTTTTCACAGCTGCAGAAGAATAATTTTAAAGCCATGTAAGTCATCCAGGTAAAGCGTCTACTTACGAATTAGCTGCCACTGCACATCCTTGTGTTGCTTGGAATGAGCACACACGGCAAGTCAAATGCTCACGAGTTCATGCCAACTCAGCCCCAGTGACATGAACCCTCTTACTGTCTCACATGTAAAAGTTACAGGATTAGTTTCTTAGCTAGCCAGCAACAGGTTTAACAGTGTGTGTTCTTCTCCTAGGGCCCTGGTCATGTTTGCTCAGTACATGCAAGGAGGCACATTTGGGAAAGCAGTTAAAATGGCTGAGGATGTCACAGACCTTGCCAAAAGGTGTGCTGCTGCAGCCAAGGACAACCCGGACTGCCTGAAGCCCTTGGTAAGCACATCTACCCTTCTAATCTGGCAACTGTTTTCACAAGTGATTTGTCATGTCAGAGCCCTCATGTATGTATTCCCAGAGGGGCATGAATGCATTGTTAAGAGACTTCCCTGTGTATTTGTGTTTGGCCTTACTGACTCTTTGGTTCTCCAGGCTCCCATCTATAAAGCGTCTCAAGATCAGTGGAGGAAAACAAAGCCCCTCTCCTCCCCCCATCCCAAATATCACAGCATCTTTACCTGCATCCATGACCTGCATTTCTCTAGAATATGTTCAGAAAGATGTGCCTTTATGGCTGGTGTAATCAAGAAAAAGGGACTGAATAATGTTATAAGGTCAGAGTGTTTGACAACCATTCCACTTGGAAGCATGTCTCGGCATAACAGTAGGTACCAGAGTTCAAGAAATCATCACCCAGGTTTTAGAGGTCAGTCTGATTTTCACTGCAGTTAAAGCAGGAAGGAATGAAGAGAGAAACAGTTCATGCAAGTTGGGGCTTGTTGGCTTGAAGTAGCCTCCTTGGAGAGCTCAGAGGAGCAAAATGGAATCCTCACACAAATTAACTTTTTCATAATTTTCACAGGACAAGATCTTCCTTGATACAATATGCCAGGAGGAAAATCTTCCCAGCTTTACTGACTGCTGTGCTAAAAAGGATCCTGAAAGAAATGGCTGCTTCTTGACTCTTAAAAATTCATCGAGAGGGTTCATTTCTCCTTTTGAAATGCCAAATGCAGAAGCTGCCTGCAAAAGTCATTCACAGAATCAACATCTGTTAACAGGACAGTAAGTAAATAAGTCATAAATTCGTTGCCTAGATAAGACAGCTATGAACCTGCAGACAGCAAATACAGTTTTCAATGCAGCTGTCAAGTTCAGTCTAAGATTCTCTGCAATCTTGTGCTCGTTCTTCTTTTTAATGTGAATTATTTGCATAATTCATCTAGCTGTACTGGTCATTCCACAAAGCCTGTTCTGCCATCGCCTGCTTTGGATATAGGTCTACATGACAATCTGCCCTGCTTTATTGTAGTGCATGTAAAGGCCTCATCTGAAACCAGGAGGCTCTGTTTAGTCCTTAAAAGCCAAGCAGAAGTTGTGCTGCTTCTGAACAAGAACTGGCAGGATTTGAGATTTCCAGGAAACTGGCCACCCCATCAGCAGTTTCCAAGATAAACACCACACCACGTAGCTTGTTATGACAGTAAAACAGTCACTTTTAGCAGCTACCATTTTAATTTCTGGCAGAGGCAGCTATACCACTGTTGCCCCTGCATGTGGGGGCTTACTGGGAAACTAAAGATGTTTTTCCCTGGGTTTCAGATTTATTTATGAGGTTGCCAGAAGGCATCCTTTCCTCTATGCCCCCACCATCCTTTCCGTTGCTATCCGGTATGATGAGGTGGTGAAAAACTGCTGCAGAAGCACTGAAGACCTCACTTACAACCTGGAGGAATGCTTTCGGAGACAGGTACTTCATCACAGGCTACAGATAGCAGCCACTTCTTCACAGAATCATAGAAGGACAGAATGGTTTGGGTTGGAAGGGACCTCAAAGCTCATCCAGTTCCAACCCCTTGTCACAGGCAGGGACACCTTCCACTAGACCAGGTTGCTCCAAGTCCCATCCAACCTGGCCTTGAACACTGCCAGGGATGGGGCAGCCACAGCTTCTCTGGGCTGTGGTCTCACCTGTGCCAGGGCCTCAGCACCCTCACAGGTGAGTTCTTAGGAAGAACTTTTTCCTAAGATCTCATCTCAGTCTCCCCTCTGTTAGGTTAAAGCCATTCCTGC